GAGGGTGGTCTGCAAATTCTTCAGGAGGTGATGTTGTTTGTCCTTGATTTCAGTAAGTTGGATTTCTTGAGACACTGCCACTCTCTTAAAAAGATCCTGGAACTGTCTCAAGTCGTCTGGTGGGGAGACACTGGTGGTGGAGCGCCCTATCGAAAAGGAACATGCAGAGCCTCATTTCACGGTCACAGAGAGCCCTGGCTGTAAGTTTTGAGCAATGTACGCATTTTTGTGGAACATGGCTCTCGCCAAGACAGCAGACACACGCTGCGTCGCCATTGGACATAGGCATGACGTCACGGCACAGGGAGAATTTTTTAAACCCAACATTTTGTATATTACTGTTGCTTCTTACTTTTTACCTCTGTTTTCTCCAGGTTTGTTTTTTTGTTTTGGGTTTTTTGGGTTTTTTTTTTTTAAAGCTATATACAAGAGTTCTAATGGGGAGGGAAGGAGAATGAAAACTTAATGGACTATATGCTAACAGGAAAAATCTTCCTTTTTTTTAATGAATGTGAACAGGTATAAAGAACTATTTATAGTCGTAAATTGAGAAATTATAACTGTTTTTTTCTCACAAAAGGTTGAACAAGAAGGAGAGACAATTCGCTTCATCTGCAGCCTGAGGCAGTTGAAGAGGAACTGGCTAAGACCAGATCACACAGAGCGGGCGAGCGTGAACGCCACGAGACACCCCACCCGCACTTACAGGGTCCAAGGGTATGTCTACACTACAGCGCTAATTCGAACTAACTTAGTTCGAATTAGTTAATTTGAACTAAGCTAATTCGAATTAGCGCATCTAGACTTAAAAACTAGTTCGAATTAGCGTTTTGCTAATTCGAACTAGCATGTCCACACTGAGTGGACCCTGAACCGAGGTTAAGGATGGCCGGAAGCAGTGCCGGCAGGGCATCAGGTTAGGACTTAGAGCGTGGAGCTGCTGTCTCAGGCTAGCTGAGGGCTGTGCTTAAAGGGTCCCGACCCCCACCCCGGACAGACAGTTCTCAGGGGTTCCCCGCTTGCAAAGCAGTCCTGGCTTGGAGTGCCCTGAGTGCCCACACTGGGCACATCACAGCACTCAGCCATCAGCCCGGCTGCACTTGCCTCAGGCTGCCATCCGGGGAAGGGGGGGCAATTGGGGGGCTGGA